ATTTCGTCTTTTGTGATCTACAAGCGTGGAGAACTTTCGTTCACGTTCCCATCCAAATTTATCGCCATTCTCGGCTATAAAAATCAACCGATCGATAATCTTCGAGAGAAATAAGACCTCAGTGAGTGGGAGATTCGGGAAAACCTGAATGTTATTTGGTCAGACTTTAAGGAATAAACAGTCGGGAAATATCGCAAGTCACCAACCGCCTTCAGTCGTCGACATTCTGGTCGATGCACCTTCCACGCGAGACGCTGACAATCCTTACTGCAGTACCGAACAAAATCGCACCTAAAGTATTCAAAATCAATTAGGGGAGTGAGTTACTAACAAGGAGGCTACTCACGCTGCACATTTTGCCAAATTCTGTCCTTTTACAGGTGCTCGCATACAATATGAGCAGAAGAGTTCTGTTTTTGGATTCAGTACCTGGTAGGCGAACGGATGCTCAAAAACCTGTAATAGGAATGGCAATAGGAAATTCTGGTTTATTCGTCGTTCTTATGTAGCAGGAAAGGAAAAAATGGAAATGACAAAATTCCCAAAAAAAAGAAAGAATTGTGGTAAAGTGGGCGCTGGAGTACGTTATCAACTGGCTGCTGCTACGTCTATTACCAAAGCGATTAAAAAACTTTACGAAAAGAATGTAAAATGTAAAAAATTGTGAATGTAAGTCTTCAGTGAACTACCGTAAAACGAACTGGTTTCGCTACTGCCTTCGTATAAGGGATCTACAGGAGAGTAACCGTGATTAACTAAAACCGAAATAAAAATACTCACTACTATTCTCGCATGAATGGAGGATATTTCATCTGAACTCTTGTCATTTTGGCTAGTGGCCGGAGCCATCACGGTCTGAAATTTAAGGTTCTCGACGCTAAAGTAAAGAGACGAAGTTGCGGAAAGTATAAAGGCCTCTATACCTTCATTAATAATCATGCGAGCGGTCCACGGTGCGACTAGTCAGAGTTCAAGGAATATGAGAAGCTTAGAAGTAAGTGGGTAATTCAGAAAAAATAGCCTCAAGTTCCGTCAAGCTCCCATGTTCATACACGTTTAACTTGTGGTTTCGCAAAAGTACACGAACGTCTGGGGTTAGCCAGATCTGGCCCCAGTTACATGAGCTTCAGCTCGGCAAATAAATGTCCACTAAACAGCGCGACTTTCATCAAAGGGGTGATTCGTGGTCATTCGGAGCTCTTGGCTGGGGAGGATAGGATGAACCGCGGGGGCAGTCTTGCACCATTCTAGCGTGAGAAAGTTGAAAGGAAGGGGTTAACCAGCAAGGTTGCTCAAAGACTCTCCACTTGTCGGGTCTGCCGTCCTGCGTCAACCAGGCTTCCTCACTGCTTTGCCTCGTCTCTCGCAAAAAATGCACACCGAATCTTTGTCTCTTGCATGGAACAAGCAGGGCCTAATTCGGGGGTGGGGCGTCTCGATTTCTGGTTTTTTTTTTCCGTTCTGCGGCAAGTCGAACCACGCCACTATATCCTGTTTTTCAGTCCGCTGGCCGTGAGAACTTATTCCACAATTAAGCCGTGAAGATCTGCCTTTAACGCTCCCCCCCCCTCGAAGGACTGTCCGTGTATGACATTACACTCGGCCATATCTGTAGCCAGAGTCAGAGTCTAGCGTCACGATGTCTCCCAGAGCGGAGCGTCTTACTTGGACACTGGTGGGGAGGGATTGCCCTATCTAGCGGTCATAAATGCGGGCATAGAGGTATTGTGCAATGGCGAAGGATGAACTCTTTCTCTGCTCGAAAGTTTGTGATAAGAATTCCAGAGGTGTGCCACCGTCAATTTAGGTCAGTCCGCCTCGCGTAGTGGGCTCTCCTCTATCACATTAACTTTTGTTTTACTCGCTATGTAGTGTGCAGTCATTTGGAAGTCACTTGTATACATGCTCAACACATTGTCCGATTCTCTTATCTACACTTCTCCTTTTGCCGTCATGATAGTGCACAAACCAGTAAGCAGTCTTACAGTTTAGACGCCAGCAGAAGCGTCCTCCTCCCTCGCCTATAGCAAATTCAAAGTGTCGCGCATTTTCTCGAGACGAGGTAAAAAGTTTGAGCAATGATGACGGCAAAACATCGGCGATAATTGCTGCGGCAAGCTATCCACATTGGAAAACTTTCTGCGCCATCTTCAGGTCTCGAAAAAGGGGGGGGGGTCAAAACGTTGAATAGAACCCGATAAGAGCCAAATCCATGTTCGCTCAAAGCAACGGGCTCGCGATCAGTTATAGAAGCCTGAAAGATTATTGGCTCGAGGGTAGGGTAGCAGTGGTCGCGACGAGAAACCCGGTTTCATGGCAAAAAATTGTTAGGGAGGGGTGCTATAGCGGAATAGAGGTTCAGTTACGCCTCCTTTTCCCCAGTGACTCCGCCTCCAGACTCCACCTTAAAGGCACAGTCCGCGACCGCAAATTGCGGGAAACGGAACTCAAATAGGCACAAAAAGTGCTAAGTATCTGATTAGCGGAGAAAAGCAGCAGAAAAAGCAGTCCGAAATGTTATAGAGAAAGATAACATAGTGTGCTTTTTACCAGCTAGCCCAGTAGCAGCCGCGGTGAGGGTCGGCATGGGCCTAAGGGGTGTCAATGGGCCTAATTAGTCAGCTTCTAGCGGAGTTCTTGCCGTTTTTCACATTTTGAAAGTAGCGCGGCCTCAAAAATCGCCTTCCGGATCGTCCGACACATTTGAGAGGTCATAGCCTTATTTTATCGCGGAATGTGCCTTTAAAGGCCCGTTTTTCAATGTAAAACGAAGCCGCAGCACGCAGAAGCATGGAAATCTTCACTTGTAGAGTTCTTCTGCGGGGAATGAGCGGGCGCAGTGTTGAAGATGAGTTAACTGGGCACGTACAAACTGGGATCGGAATGGGGTTCTATCTAGGGCACTTGGCATGTTTTTTCTGCTTTTTTTTTCTTCACTATCGAATTACTCAGAGCCTAGTCGTTTATATGCAAACCCGTTACCTATGATGTCCAATGACCGCGGGCTATGCCTTTAAGAAAATAAAACACAACTCAGAAAAACAAAAAAAACAACATCATAATAAAACACATAATAATATACAGTGCCATGATAATCAGATCAGCACCGAACAGAGAAAAAGCCATTGATTCATAGAGCGAAAGGAAAAAGACAGACAAAGTTCATTTGCAAAGGGCGATAGCCAGGACTCGGCGGTTGATATCCAGCTCTGTCCCCGAGCCGCTTCGGAGACCTAGAGTGCCGAGAACCAGTCGCCTAGCTTTAAACAAATATTACACAGCGTTCGACGGGCATAGTGGGTACTTCACTGACAAGACGGTCCATGGAGTGAAATTCGTTTGCCACGCTTTCGTATGGTTGCAGTGCCAAAATTTCTTACCTTCGTTGGTTCTTGATAGAATACGCCATGCATTCACTTTGCCTCCAAGAGTCCTGCAGGCGATTATATAGTACAAGCATGGACCTCCGGAGACGTCCTGCAAAATATCGTTGAGAAATTAGTGCTAAGTAAACTGTGCTCCTTGGAATTTTTAGCTAACCTTTCATGACTCATACTGCTCTCATGACCCTCTTTAGAAAGACGTGCTGTCCAAACAATGGCATTTTTGGCTCCGTTCAAGAAGTATAGTGCACGGCGCGATCGAACATGCATAAATTAAAAGGTTACATATGAAGCTTTAGATTATCTTATTTTATGCTATACAGTCTTGCGGGCTAAATCACAACAAAGACTCAATGAATTTCTATCTAATGGATTTTTCAGAAGGATATTGTTCAAAGAAGTTGCCCTCAGTGTCTGTTTCACGCGTTAGTTGCCACCCTCCCCGCTCTCTACAGGAGTGTTGGCACTAACTAAATTTTCAGTGCATTACTACGCGCAAGCCACATTACTTAAAGCCTCGAGCTTTCTCCTGAGAGGTAGAAGCTGTCCGAGGGTAGCAGGTGTCTTTTCGCAAGCGGGTTCCAGTTAAACTTTTCAACCCAGCTCCTTCCTTCTTCTCCTTCCTTCTCTCTTCCCTCTTCCTCTCCCCTCTCCCTTCATGTGCTAGATGTGATGAGAAAATATATGAGAAAATATTCTCTGGACCCTCGCAGCGAGAGCGTGTCCGGTTGGCAAGAGCCCTGAGACGCGGCTCCGTAAAAACATTCGCATTGTCCTGTTGTTAACCCCGTGGCGCAGACAGCTGGACGACAGCGGTTGCCAAAGCACTGGAAAGTGCAAAAAACGTGTGGCTAACTATGAGATGGGCTTTATCAAGGAAGGGTTTCCGCGGTGGTTGGGCTACTTGTCATGCGTAAAAAGCTGGAATGTGTGCGATCACAGTGGTCATAGAACGCCATGTAGACGAAAGGCTGCCAAAAAAATGGAAAATTAACGCCATTAAAGGGATTCAACCGAAGTTGCCCGTAGACCGTAGTAGCCAGAGATGCCTTTCAGCATCTTTCAGTCCCACAGAAAATGTCGGTGAGATCTCGTTGCCCTTTTTGCCTCCCATTTTCTCCACGATTAGGTGATCATTACCAAAGTTAACGTTAAGAGGAAAGCCAACACCTGTATACTTGACCGCCAAATTATGGGGTCATAATAGCTTTGAAGGGGCCGTAGTGGATTATTGTGCAAAATTATTATTTTCCCAATAAGGGTAAGATTACTGTACTTGAAAATGATTCGCCTACCAGCAGTTCCCTTTCTTTCGGGCTTAGGCAAAAACATCGTCTCCCGCTATGGTATTCAGTTCTGCCCAAAAAGTCCTTCGAGTACCCACAGGGTTACTAGCGATTTATGGTGCAGAGAAAACGCATAATCTAATAGCTTTGATATGGGTCCCGATTAGAGCCAATTTTCCTAGAATTTCTCATACTTTGATCCCTCAGTGCACTTTATTGATGATATCAACTCCTTTCTCAAGGATATCTGGCAGGTAAAGAACAGAACTTCTCACTTCCCAATTAGCGATGAATTCAGCAAGTGCGTCAGTCCGTATGTAAAACTTTCAATCGCTCGTTAGTCGACTTCGTGACATTCTTTGCATTCAATTCTGTGAAGTAAGTAGGGTGTCTAAGTCACTGAAAGTACAATGACGTTCTACTCTTGTGGACTTTTACAAAGTATGAAGGATACGGTAACAGCCTTCAGACGCGGAACTTCAATCAGGGTACAGCATCCTGGTGAGTGGAATGGCAATGACAATGCCCCCCTGCAAATTTTCCGTCATCTGACACGAGTAACTTCTCTTCATTTCTACGTAGCCATCTTCCTAAGTGTTCCCGAAGGTTGTTCCAAGGTCCTGCTTTACGAAATATTTTTCTAGTTTTTTTTTTCAGAGAATCTTGGGGGGGGGGCGGTAGGGGACCGTGGAATCCGGTCAAACTGCCAAAAAAATGAGTT